TTCTACTAAAAGATGGTTTATAGCATAGATTAGCTATGAAGTAGAGGAAGCTACCCTGTCACAGCAATGACAACACGCTGTTAAGCCAGCAACTGTTTATTTGAACTTGATCCCTTCACAAGGGAATGAGAACAATGACAACGCGGGTTAAAACATACTGGGCACGTCTACACAAGATGCTATGGTGACGTAGCAAAGCGCTACGGCGACCTAGCACATCAGTGGTTACAAACGGTGATGCTGCAGCTATGTCGCCATAGTAACTTGCTCCCTCAGTGTAGCATGTTGCTACAGCAACATAGCGGCATACACCCCCACCCCCGCGGTTCCCTGTGTTGTTGGCATGGCACACTACGGGCTGTTACTGTGCCGTCATTTAGGACTTCCAAAAGGAAGTCCTAAATGACGGCACAGTAACAAAGGTGCTGTAGAGACAGGTGTACTCTAGGACTTTATGAGTGTTATTACTCAAAGTCTGTTCCCCAAAAGCGGGTACAGGAGATACTTGGATGCTGGAAGGTTGGCCAAGATCTAACCAAAGCTGGCAGATCTAATTGTTGCCCTTCTTTCAGGATAATGTAATCAAGGTACTTAGAAGATCCAGAGGGCTGAAATAATAGGAGTCACCACTTAAAGCCTAGACACATGGCATGGCTTGAACATAAGCTGAGCCATGTGGCCCAGGGGGTTCTCTAGACAGTGATAGATAGCAAACCAGACTAGGGCATTGATCGGTGGAGCTCTGTCCCTCTATATACAGAGAGAGAAGAAAAAGACGTAAAGAAGCCTCAAACGAGGCCAGACAGACCTGGTAGCAAAACCCCGAGGAGGAAAAAAAAATAGAGGCGCCAAGAGTGCACTGCTGGGGGGAAAGTACTGCTTGAAAGAAACTTGGACCCATCCGCCACACAACTGGGACTTCTGCTGTGTTTAGGGCACCAGACCTTTCAATCTTGTTTATTAGCAAATAATGTGTATCATATTATCGACTCCAGCATCAATTTCTCCACCTAAGGGAAACTGTCACAACCCAGTGATTTTTGTGCCTTGGCACTATGGAATTTCCTGGCCACATGAGAGCTCCTTTGCACGGCAGAATGTTCTGCTGCAATTAAGAACCCGTGTGCAGGAGAGAGTTCCCGCCAATTTGCAGTTTCCTTTGCAGGACGCATTTCTTCTTTGCAGCACAGAAATGCACGGTGCAAAGAGTTCCCGCTATTCGAGTGTAAATTTGTGTCCCGCTATTGGCCAGTGCTAAATTATTCACACATGGCGGCTAGTAATTGGCTCGCTGGCCGTTTAAAATTCCGCGCGACTTCCGCCCAAGTCGAAGAGCTTAGGCACGCTGCAGAGTGCCTCTGAAGTTATCTGACTTGCGGCTGCCCATCGATAGACTGATCACCTATCGATCTTTCTTCCCGTCGCCGAGCGCAATCCCAGACGTACCCCTTTCCCCGCCGGATTCGAATTGTGGACGGATTAACTGGCTTGGGCCCCGTCAGCTGGAACAACTCGCGTGGTTGTTCAGACGACCAGACCACCTGCGTCGTGATTGCAAGCGGCGTGAGTAGTTTTTTGCAACCAATAAGTTGTGTCTGCCTCTCCATTCACCAGCCCGCCCTAACGTACGACCAATTTCTAACGCAACTCGAGTCGGCTGTGGCCGTCCGAGACATGGCGACGAGGATGGGATCTAAGGGCACGGTGATGGAGATGAATCTGATCGGGTGCTGCCCCTGGCGCACCGGGACACGCCGCGTAGAGAATGCAAACGATCTATGGGTGCATATCGCTTACCACCAGGCGGTAGAAGGGGATCAAAGAAATATTGATGGTTACTTCTCCGTAAAAAGAGAAGAAGCCGTGGTAAAAGAATGGAGAACAAAGCTATCCCTCGGGGAGTTCGGATGCATAATGGGGAGTGACCGGGTTTATTATCGGCCCCCGGAGGAAACATCAACCATATCCCTAGCTGGGGTGAAGGCGCGGAAGGCAGAAAAGCTGACCCCCGCTCAGGAGTTCGCTCAATGCACCCGATACTTAAAGGAGGGGGGGG